CTGATAGGTCAATTACTCTGTAGCCAACATAGTATCCTTCCAATTGGCCATTCCAATTTTCACGAGGTGGTGCCTGCAATTTGAGAACAACATCAAAATTATGCATAATTTACTAGAAATTAAAAATGTGAAACATACACTTGAAAAAACGTTAATGCTTACAGAATCTATATAATAAACATAAATCTGATTGTGTTTTTCTGTTTATTGTGTGTACATTTCAAAAAAGTTGATATTCCATCAAACACTTAGCCTATGTTGTTTAAGTTGCTATATATTTCAACTTTTTCCAAAGGTCTGAAATTGAATTGTAAAGAAATATTAATAAGCAATAACTTGTTCATACAAATTCCCTACACAAATGACTAACATATTGTACATACCTTCCACGTTACTGTAATTGTATTCGTTCCTTTAGCATGAACACTGATGTCCATTGGTGGAGCATCTGGTTCTGAAACAAATATATGCTTAAATTTAAAACTATTTCCACTAGGAGAAAAGATTCTGAATACTTCCTATATCACACATCATAGACAAACACTTGGAATATTCATCAGAATTTAGATCCCACCAATTCAGTAGTTCTTTTTCAGAACATTCTTAATACCAAATTTCATAATACAAGCAAAGCAAAGAAAATAACACTTAGTTAAAAACGAAAACTTTAAAAGATAATTTAACTTAAAGACTTGTATTTATGTTCTATTATCACTTTTGTTTAAAATTTAATTAATATAATTTAAGGTAATGTATAATCTCTTAAAAGTATTAATACAGTGTTCAATATGAATTCTTACACCACTATTTACTTCTTATAACATAGAGTTCTTTGTGAAAATATAAAAGCTTAAATACCTGCAATGAAAGATGAATTAATTAATTAAAAAAACAATGAGACAAATACTCATGGAAACTTTAAACAAATCCTTGATTGATGAATGCTTTAATGAAATAAAAAACAGAAGACATGTTTGTGATGACTTACAAAAATCATGAAATATGTTATTCTAATTATCAAAGAAACACTACCTTCCTCTCCTGTGGTAAGCATAGCAGGATCAGAAGGTAAACTTTTACCGACAGAATTTTCTGCTGTTATAGTAACTATATAGGAAGTTCCTGGTCGCAGATTCTTAATCATTGCAAAGGTCTGTGAGCTTGGTACTGTTTTTTCGTTCAGCCGCCGTGTTCCTTCTAAGTATAAACAAAAAAAAGAGCAAAAAAAAACATAATACAACCATGAAATGAAACGATTAAGATAGCTAAGAGACCAATGGTTCAGCACATCAATTGTCACAAACTGTTAACTGAAGCATTAGTCAAATTATAAAATATGAATGCACAAAAATATAAAATAGCATCCTTTCAATGTCATAGTTCTTTGAAATGATAAAACCCTTGACTTTGCTAATGGATTTAAAAGCAGAATAGGTCAGTTTCCTAGATTATAATTTTAACTTTAATGCTGTGATGGATGTTAACTTTTTTTTTCTTTACATCACACTACATTCACAATAAGAGTACAAGGTATCGCCAAATATGACTTACTGTGATCTCTCCAATACTGCACAATGTAATTACTTATTGGGCTGTTTCCACTATAAGGAACCAACCAGGTGATGCTAGAACTTCTTGTCCAGACTTCACGAACACTGACTCCTGGTGGTGGTGATGGCACCTCTGGCAAGCATTGAAATAATAAGTGAAATTTTCGAATATAAATTCCATTTACTGTTTGTATATGAATGTTGTTTCTTTGCTTTCAAAAAATAATTCTTATTGTAATCCATAACAAACTTATGCCTGAAAATACCAATATTATTCATTTGAAAATCAACCTAGGTTGATTTCAGTCACTCATTCTACTAAAAATATAAAACGCTTTTTTTAGGTGTTTTATTTTAAATATTGTTCAATCTCCTATATTAATTAACGTAATCATATCACCATTTCATGTGGATTTAGAGGTTTGTTTCTTTTGTTTTTGAAGTTAAGCACAAAGCTACACAATGGACTATCTGTGCTCTGCTCACCATGGGATTTAGAGGAGCAGACAAGTAGAGCATTATTGCTCTAAAAATGTTTAATTTTTCTTGGTCATTTCCATTAACTAAAAATTGTCTATAGTATCCAATAAAAATATACCACTTTTTTGTCAGCAGCTCAACCATTTTTCCAAAATAAAACCTTCATTCCTTTGAAAAATTTATGAAGTTACGAATTCAAAATGTAATGTTATGAATGATGGTAAGTAACTATCGGCTGAAATATCTAATAAAGATTGCATCTTTCATTGTGCCAAAAGAGGTCGTTTTTGTTTTTTTTACTTTTAATATAGTAGCACAATCTGTTTGAAAAGAAATTATTTCATACAATAGTCTTAAAAAACAATGAACATAATAATTCATTCTGTCTGTAAGTCAGTTGTAAAAAAAAAGCAAAAAAAAAAAACAAGTGGCATCTCATGAAAAGAGTTATTTCTTTTATGAAAACAACATGAATGGCATTGTACTATATAAAAGGCTGAATGCTTTTCAACACAATAAACATAACTACTCGATGGGAATATGTTTCACATATTTCATTATCCTCAGCACATTAAAGTCAACTTACTCAATAACCTCAAGCCCATAAATATTATGAGTGGTAAATTGTCGAAATATTTAGCTTGCACTATATAGATTATCCCTATGAACCTGAAACAGGTATTCAGCTAAATATAGTTTAACAAAATGTTTCAAGAGGTCCCACCTTGAATCAAAAGTTTAACTTTTCTCTCATCTCTGCCATGTTCATTCTCTGCTAAACAAGAGTAAATGGCTCCGTCTTGAGGTAAAGTTTCTCTGATGATCAACTCCGAGTTAATTCCTTTCGGGGTTAAAGTCTCGAAGATCTCATATCTGCTAACAGCAGAAACAATTAAAATCCATGTTACATATACAATTTGCTACTTTAACTTTCTGAACGTTTTAAGTATTTTAAAATCAATTTATAAGAATACAAAAATAAAAATTAATGTATTATACACCCAATTTCTAAGTATTATAATATTGATATTTATATCATAAATTTTTCGTTTCTAATTCAACTCTATTATTGAATTTTCTTGATTAATAATTAGAAGGTTTTATTTTGTTTTTGGAATTTTTGTACTACTTTCCGATTTTCAATTTCAGTTTTTCAATTAAGGTTCATCCTATACATTAATTTCGGTGATATTTGAGCTTATTAGCCACTTTATAATTTTCATCACTTCTATTGCTTTTCCCTAAGCTTTTTACACTCTTTATTTCTTAAAGAATTATGGTGTAAATTCCCATTTGCATCTATTTTTTTAATTATGAGTATTATTGTACTTTTTTAACCTTTTACTTCCATAATAATTTGTGCTTTGAGTTTTCGTGTATTTTAAGGTTACTGTTATCGCAGGAAACACAGAGGAATTTCATTAGGGGGAGGAGACAAGAGGGTGAGGTCCTGGGAACGAGAGTACCCCCTTTCTCGCCCCCCAATGTTAAAATTGTTGTAGGGAGCTATTTTTACGCTGATTTAATGCAAATTACTCTGCCATAATTATTACTGGTGCAAATATAATCTAATCAAAAACACCTTAGTGTGAAAAAAAGGTGCGGCCAAAAAAGGATTAAGTGTATGACTTAAAGAAACGAAATCAAAATTGGCGGCTAAACTGGTAGCTACAATTATAACATTGATAAGAATTTTCCAGAAAATATTCATTCATTAGTTAGCTAGGCCGCGAGTTTTCTTTTACCTACCATCATGTCTCAATTCGAACAACCTACGGAGTGTTTGATTATATATTATTACCTTTTGTCAATACACACCAACAAATCACAGCAAGTAAGAAAATGATAGTAACCCACATTAGCTTTAAGATCGCAGCCCTATTATTCGGAACGGACCTTTACTTTACAGAACCAACTAGATTCTTTAAAAATATATGGAGGTAGTTTTTCCTCTCTAAAACAGTGTTGTCATCACCTCCATGCAATCGGCACAGCCGTATCAAGCATCATTATTTATGCTAAATGCTTGAGGTAATATCACATGACGCCAAATGCTCTTTAATTAGTAGAATTTCATAACGTTTAGTAAATCAGTGCTGAAAAGTTAGCAATGAATAATAACCGTCCACCCATATAATTATTTTGAAAATTTGAGCTACAAATTGTTAATCTAGTTTGCTTGGCCTAACCAGTACTTGTGTATCTGCACGTTCTTTCACCTTATAGTTTTGCTGTTCTAAATCAGCCGTCTTTAATCCAAATGACAAAAACTACAAATGGTCCACTTTTACTCTTAGGTGAAGCTGTAGTAAAAATGTTAGACCGATAGCTCACGTGACTTTTTGCGTAAGAATTCGCCAACATTTTCGTCAAATTTCAGCGGTTTTTGTTAAATAACTTTGCACATGTGGCTTATATTTACACCAAACGAGTCTCCTATTGGTAGGTTGTAAAGATCTTTCAGTGTATCAAATTTAAAAAAAAATCCATAAAAGTTAAGTATGTTTCTCTATCAAATAAAGTTTCCGTATTTTTGGTGCGAATAATAAAAAAAAGAAGAAACTAAATCAAAATTGGAGATGTTATATCTCGGGTATTTCTTAATGAATTACCATGAAATTTGGTATGTGAATTAATAGTCTAGTGGAGCACATCCACTAAAAATATTTGATAGATTGGATTATCACAGTCCGAGATACAGAAGGTAGGAAATCGCTAAACTATCACTCCTGTTAACAACACACAATGTACAGCAGCAGATCGTTTTGGCCGCACGACACACTACCGTTTGTCTTGATGACGGTACAGTTTCACAAATGAAACGTTGTAAATAATCCTGTAGACGTACAGCCACTGGAATTCACCATCTCAAATAATGCCCTCTTGTGCGTATAATATACCTTTTTTTATAAACAAAACTTAAAACTTCTTGTCTTGCTGAAGAGCTTGATCAATCTTTAAAATGCCTTAGTTGTTTCACAGAAATTTCAAACATTTTGTGTAATCTGATTTATAACTGTCAATTAAGTAATAATCATTATATATAACATTGACTACGAAGTCTACAATAAACTAGCTTTTTGAAGATATTTCTATCGTTGGCCAATCAAGTCTTAAACAGCGTCACTTTGAAAGAACTGCAACTTTAACAGGAAGAACGGTCAGATTTCACAATCAAGAGGAGGAATAGCTCAGAACCATAGAAGGCAAATTTTACATTTTTTTATCATGTTTTTAAACTTTATGAGAAATACATTTTGATGAAGTGACAGGTTTCTATTTTCAAACGAAATTCAAATTAGTTTATCATTTTTTTATTTAATACAGAGACTACGCAAAATAAAACTTAAACATACAAATTTCAATACACCACATTAGTTTGATTGTTGTTAAGCACAAAACCACGCATATGTTATATCTTAGGTATTTCCTAATGAATTACCATGAAATTTGGTATGCGAATTAATAGTCTAGTTGAGCACATACACTAAAAATATTTGGTAGATTGGATTACTACAGTCCGAGATACAGAAGGTAGGAAATCGCTAAACTATCACTCCTGTTAACACCACGCTCTGCCCACTATGGGTATCGAACCCGATCTTTAGCGTGGTAAGCCTGCAGACTTCCGCTCAGCACTGGGGGTGGGGGGGGGGGAGCTACAACATTTTTAAAGAGTTAAGTTTGAACAATAATCATGCCGCGCTTTAGGGGGTTATATATCTATTCGTTGTAACTAGCACGGCTTGATCAAAACATTCAATGTGGGGTAACGTTGTCATTTAACCATCTATCCCAAATATACTTGTCTAGATATAAAAATGACATAGTGATATAAAGTTGAAGCAATGTACTCCTTTCAAAGACAATAAATCACATTACACTGTACAAAATCGAATTAAAACATCATAGAACGCTTACCCTGATCCACTAGTTTTACTTAAAGTATTGGAACTATTCGACCATGTCACAGACAAGGGTTGATCACCCTGGGCATCACACTGAAGTCTAGCACTCTCTCCTTTCTGTGCCGTCACCACACCAAATTTTTCTTCAAATCGTGCAGGAACTATTGAAATAAAAACGCATGTGATGAATATGTATAGTTTTATTTCCTACAGAATGTTCTGTCATCATATGCTTATTCGTGACTAAACCCAGCATAATTCATAGTTTATCATATATTTTCGTTACATTTTGAAAAATGAATAAACAGATATTTTAGTGATAATCATGTTTTAACATACCTTCCTCTACGGTTTCTAAATGGTTCATATAAAAATTATCATGGATAAATACCTATAATTTTTAGTATATAATGTTTTGACTAAAAGGGCATAAAATGAAAGCGATCTCTTTCACGAATTCATATCTCGACGTGATTTTGTTATTATACTGTATTTCACCTTAAACGCTTTACGAAGACGTTATTGGTTGTGTATGTTCGTGCATTTTGGGTTTTAAACTAACTGTTATAAAATGTATTGGAAATCACTGTTAGTAGTCATTTTGTGTGGTGAAAATGATTTCACTACTACAGTTCTGACTTCCGTGAAATGCTTTTAAGATTGAACTGAGACTTCTATGAACATGTCACATACAAAAGCTAATGAGCCCACTATGAACTCTACTGATTAAACTGTTTTATTTTTGCTCAAAAACAAAATCCTCTTCATATCTTCATGGTATTTTTTCTTCCGCACTGTGTTGAGTACAACTTCGTGTTCATACTACTGGCCTTACCCAACACTGTTAGAACAATTTCTTGTTTTAATATGGAACCGACGCCATTGTCAGCAGTACAGAGATAACGACCTTCATCTTGTTTGGTGACGTGAAAAATTGTCAGTTTTCCCACTTTCGTAGTCTCATCCAATTTAAAATCTTGTCGAGATGTTTCACTATTACTTTCTGAAATTGAAATAGTCAAAATTAATTGTTGCATTTTGATTTCGAACATTTGTGTGCTTACTTGTACATTTTTAAAATCAAACTGTGTCTACAGACCATCTAAACATTTTAGGGATAATTCATGTACTTAATACAGTTATAAACTGATATTTTACAAAAAAAAGTAGTGTTGATTAATTTACATCGTTTCATGTCTTAAAACTGAAACATTTATGGAATCAAAATAAAGTGTGTTTAAAATTATCTTATAACTTTATAATTGCATTATAAGTTAGCCAGGGTTTTGTTGCAAAGAAATATCGGAGAGCTGTTGCTTGCAATACATGTATATTTCAACTTATACTATTGCAACCTGAATTCGATGAGTTCTTTTCAACATTATTTCAAATATGACAAAATTATGAACAACCTTTCGAGGAACAGCTAGGGCTCCTCTCATGATCAATTGGATAACAAAACCTAAAATATAATCTCTCGTGAAGTGTTCAGTTTAAAAATATTTTTTAACTGAAGCAGAAGTATAGATCAATGGTATAACAGTCATTTCGGTTTTAATATTTATGGGTAAATAAGGTCCATACTTTAAATATATATGTTTCTTCAAGAACGTGTTATCAAATTTAAAGATAAAATTAAAAGCCATAAAATATTTAATATATAAAATACACTAATATTCCCTATAATGGATATACAGTAAAATATATTCTTATTTTTCTTTTAGTGTAACTTCGAATTTTTCATTTAGTACGAAACTTTTGATATAATTCATCATTGCTTAAATATCTGCAATAATTACTGTAAAGTGAGGAAAATGTTACCAACTCTATTCTATAAACTCACGTGCATTTGTTCTCCACGTGACACGTGCTGGCGGATAGCTAGTTACTTGACAATCCAGGGTAAGTTTGGAACCTTCCATTACGGCTCTATCGTGAGGTTTCAGCGTCCACTGAGGGGGCGCTTTGGACAAAACAAATAAACCTTTTCAGGATCCAAGAACTAGCTGTGTTTATAATATATAAATCTACAAATTATAATTACCTTGCTTCATGCATAGGTTTGGAGAAATAAATCATTGATGTCAGTAAGTTTGCAAAAAAACGTTCGTTCTGGTTTGGCTAATTATGACAGTACGCACACATACATATAAATGTTGAAAATTATGTATTGCTTCTAAACTTTCTAGTGTTTTATGTATTTGAATTAGAAAGTTCTATTTGTCATACGCTTCTTCTCCAAAAGAAAAAGAGCGTCCTGTCCTGTATAATGTAGTTTTGTTTACATCTTTCCAACGTTGTAAGCAATTACTAATTGTATACTTCTTGTGCATAATATAAATATATAAATATCGAAAACATTAAAAAATAACTATTTCGTCTTTATATCTTCAATGCAAGACGGAATAAATATCGGAAAAATATTTCTAACACTTTATATCGTATCTGACGAAAAGAATGCTTTTTTAATTGGATTCGTACAACATTTTCCTTACGAAAATTTAAAAAACCGTAATAAAAATCACTCAGATAAAAATCTAATCGATACTAGATATTTTATACAGTTATAACAAAAAGTTGACTAAAGAGAATTATTTTTAATCTAATTGATATTTTAAAGAAATTTTCAAATATTATATTTTTAGAATGTAAAGTATACTGTAAATTAATGTAATGACATTAAAATACCTTTAACAGTTAACCTGGAAGTAAAACTGTCCAAGCCGTAGCTGTTTTCTACCGAACAAGTATAGTTGCCAGAATCTTCCACTCTGACTTCACTGACTGTCAACACAGACAACTCTTTCATTGTTTCGATTTTATAGGTATAATTTCCTGAACTTAGCTCTGAGCCATCTTTTGCCCACTTAAAGATCAGTGGCTTGGTTCCTTCACTAACTGTGCATACAAATTTTAAAGGTTTTCCTAGTTCTTGGTCTCCAGTAAGAGGGAAGGGTTGAATTATAGGTTTGCCTACAACAAAATAAACCGATCATCTGTAGTGTGAGTAAAACTTACTTTCAACGTTAAGTAGCTGATATCTTATACTTAGGATTACTAACTAAGAAACTATAATCTCTAAAATTTACAACAAAAAGGCTATTTATTGTTCGCAAACCTTAAATTAGTACGAAGTAAATCAATTATGTTGCATTAATAAATGATCAATAAGAATAATTCAATGTAACACAACACGTAGTTACAGAACTTGTACTGTATTTACTCTACTAATATACTGCTAAACAGCCACTAGTGAATCACTTTAAAATAACAACTTTGTTAACACAATCACTGTAGCATGAAATATGATACATTGTGTACAAGACACTTTAAAAGCCTTACCTGCTATAACAATACTGGTAGACAGGGTTAGGACTGCAGTGAAGAGTGTGATTTTACTGTGGTGATACATACTCAACCATACCCAACGTTTTGCACAGCAAACTGCCTTTTTCTCACAATGTCTGAGCATGTTAAGTTATGCACAATACAAACACTATACTGTCGAACACTGACTGGAAATAAAATGAGCTAATCTCCGTGAACGTCTAAATATTTATGAAGTTACTATTCTCCTTGAGTTTTGCAGTTATTAATAATAAAAACAAGTATAATAAATCGAATATCATATATAGCATTTTCTTCTGTCTCTTCTGACACAGCTACAAGGCGCCACATAGCGGCAGAAACTAAAATTACTAAAAAAAGAGAAAAAAATAGAGAACTAGGTTATGTAGAAAATACCATATATGTGTAATAGACTTGTAATTATAAAAACACATTTTTACCTAATCTCTTCTCTCAAAGGTATAATTTGCATTTAACTATAGCGCAATAATACGTTTTCAATATGTGATATCGTTCAATGAACAACTTGGTGAAGTAATGGTACTAAACATTCGAAGTTAAGTGAAATTTAATACAAATTAGTAAACAAGGAGTGGCTAATGAATACGTAGATGTGTGCAATAAGTTAAGAACTGTATGAACGTATTCAATGTTCTAATATAAATACATAAGAAAAAATTATACATTGTCATCATCACCTTAAGAATATTGCTTTAAAGCATTTCAAGTATGACTTATAACATAAGAATAACAAAATACGTGTCCGTACATTTCGTTTTCTAGTATTCAATCTGGTCGCTGAGGCTCATCAAACCCCTTCTATCTCTGAGGGGTTTGAAGAATTATGTTTCAAGTTATTTTCCTAAAACAATTTACTTATGAATTGTAAAATTATAAGTTAGTTAGGTGCGGCTTTTTAACTTAGATGAACTGAACAAACAGAAAGGGTATAGCAAACAACAAAACGTGGTGACTGAGGCAGATCTGTTGCCCTCTAGTTACAAAATATTCATATATTAATTGAAGTACAAAAATTTACCATGAGAACGTTGCGAATCATAATTTTGGAACGTTAATGGCGGTCTGAAATATTTTAATATCCTTTCTTTTTTTGTATAATTTAATGACACTTGTTGGCTGCGCCAAACATTCAAACCACTTAAACTAAATTTAAAAATTCGATTTTTAATGGTTTAATAGTTAGTTTTACCCTCAGTTTGACTTACAGCAATATTAAGAGTTCTTAAATCTAGTTAGGTTAGTCTTTAGTAATAATTCAAGCTGCTCTACCAATAGTACGCAGATTTGCTATATCAAATCATAGTGGTGTTTGTTTGTTTTTGCAGCATATAGCTCTAATAATGGAAATAAACAGTACTTAAATCTTTTTCAATAAACTACAAGAAGTCTATGGCCATAAAATTCAGGTTTTAAATGTGTTACTCTCTAGCATTAGAATATAGAGTTAACATACAAAGTAGAAACAAAAAAAAACGGGAAGCGTCGAAAACAAACGTTCATGTAAATTTAAATCGACTTTTCTTCTTAAAATTAAAATTTCCTTTTTTTTCTTAATTCTTAAACAAATGTCATAAATTAAAATGGCAGTGTAAAGTGTAGATATATAAGATATCTCGCATGTCACTGATAAATAACATCAGAATTTGAGTATTTTCTGTATCTGCCAGTTTTCTTTTAAATACCACAAACATACACACTACAGATGCTTGTGTGGAAAACGAAAATGCTAAAAACGTTAAAAGAAAAAGATCAAATAGAGCGATATCATGTATGAGAGTATTTCTAAGTTGAT